AAAAATCATAAAATAATTGGGGGGGACCTTCTAGTGAGGGGACCTACCAGATGTTCCCCAACCCTCCCAATGTGTCCCTTGAATCATAATCAACAATAATATAGTTGTTTTCATAATTGATCTCCACTGAATTATTGATTTCAATGTAGTGCAGGCGCACAGGGTTTTTCACACCTCTGATTGGCTGATTCCCAAAAAGTGTGTAAGTATGTATCCCACAAATAACCACCGATGCCAGTAAAAATCCTGCAAGAAAAAAAGTGTGGTAGCAAAATTTGGGTGGGGGATAAACTTCTGGTGAAAATGACACTGATCACAAATCATTTGACAACAGGTATATTTCTCAGCAACATGTTTTGAATTTCGGTAGAAAGATAAAACACAATGAGTGGGAAAGGACAAAAAACTTGACAATACTACATAAAAGTTAAGTGATATTCACTAGTATGCCTGTACCTTAACTTTTTACTTTGTTGCTGTGGAGTAATTTGATATAAAAAAATTTAGTGCTAACTTTAAGTGAGATTCACTAAAATTCACAACCAAAGAAAACAAGCAAAAGAATGATCAAAAGTGCATTGAAAACTTCCAAAAATGTCAGGGAAAAAAAGCAACACAATCAATATAGAGTCTACTTAACAGAAGTATGCAGCAGGAATAACACAGCAAGAACTGTTCAAAATTATTTAGAACTGCTGCACTTGAGATGAATATACATCCAAAAATGCAAAGCAAAAGGAGGTGGCCAGTTTGCCTAACTAGCACACAGTATGAATTCAAGAAATTATTCCACCTTCAATGTTGCGACAAAAATAAGGAATGTTCAAGAAGAAAACTGTTTTCAAGTAAGATAATTGAATAAAAAGGATTACATTAAAATTACTTACGGTAAGGTAAGGCAAAGCAATACAAATTTATTAGAAAATATTTTGAAGGCACTAAAACCTCAAAATATAGATGGGAGAGGGTAGGGGCTAACTGCATTAGGAGAGAAAAACCTCACCAACTACAATAATTAGTTAGCCACGGCTTTTACATTCATTCCATAGATACAAAATTCTGAAGGAAAAGTCTCTATGATGACAGAAATGAAAAGGCAAGTAGAAAACTCTAGGAGGAACTAATAATATAGTTTCAGTCAACAATTAGGACCTTGCATGCTAGTTTAAGGATATTCCTGAAGGTAAGAAAAATCTTTATGCTATGGTGCCAGCTCACACACTTTGTGCTGAAGGAAAGGCGCAAAAAGGCACATTCTCAAAACATATAGAACAACAAAATGTCAAGATAAGATACAATACATGAAATAGCATTTGTAATTAACAATATATTTATCACTTATTTAATCCTCAACGATTAAGGTAAAAGCAACTTTATGGTCTAGCCTGTCATTCATTCAATCAATCCAATAGACAATTTTAACAAATGTACTCCGTTAATAAGATAACAAGTATAGGCTTCACACTGCCTCAAAAGTAATACATTTTCAACACACACACTCACACAGTTCATTGTGAATTGTTAAGCACTCAATTAAGAAATATTGTGAAGTGCAAAAGGCACTGACCTAACTCAAAAATTTTGCTAATTATCATAACACTTAAAGAAAGTGCCTGGTTTCCTTATAAATAAATCGCTGATGCAACTAAAGCTTGAGACAGCAATCCATATCACAGAGTAAATTTGTACGAGAAACTGAGAAAACACATGCTATTGACTGTGCTACGAGTTCCAGTTTCACTAAGTACATGGGGTTCTCAGCCCCTTCACCCAACCTGTTCCATGGGAAAGTGAAATCAATGGTATGCATTTCCACAGCCAAGTCAACAGCTTTGATGAGAGATGGCATCATAGAACAGAGAGGAATCAGGCTCATTTTTCTAATGTTAGAGCTCACAATAAACTTACACTATTTTCTTTCTAGTTTTATAGAATTGAGAAAAGAAGTCCTAAAATGTGTGTAAGAACCAGTTTGAAATATGGATAGCTGCAAAATGTAACTTGGCAAAACAAAGCTACTCTTCTGACTGAACTAAATTTATCCTAAGATTTGTTTCATTTTCAATTTATTGGAAGAGTTCTCCTACAAAGAGGTCTTACCAATGAATTTACCATAGAGAAATGGAAATGAGTATCATTGTGGTGAATAGCCAAGATGAGAGCACCACAAGCAAATCACCTGCTTTCAATTCTACATAAATATCCAATTATATTAACAAGTGGCAGAGCCACACTTTTCTGACATGTTGAGTGCAACAGTGTTCCTGTTGGTTTACAAAAATCGCGATTTAACCTAGGCTTTCAACCAGTATTTGGTCAGGTTACATTCAACTTGTTGTCACAATATAAAACATAAATATGAACAAATAACAAAAACAGCTGACAATACTTCGAGATGATTTTTAAGGACCTGTATACATTTCTCAATAATACTTACACCTCCCTCAAAAGTTTTGAAGCCAAACGGGTGCACAGGAATTCGATTTTCACATTCAGCAATGCACAAGTTCTTGCAAACGGTATAGAGGAGTTAATGAGTTTCTCTCTTCAAGTTCAGTGGAAATGACACAACAGAGATTGGTGATTTGACTAGGGGATGTGTCACTTCCCGAACACTCAAAAGTATTCTGTAATGAGTCATATAAGACTCATCCGACGAATCATCTAGTCTTGGCGACTAGCTTTTCCGCCGGAGAAAACCGGATGTCATACAAAGTCGAGATCAGACTTGATGGATCGAAGACGAGTCTCCATGCGTCTTTCGAATAATTTCTTCAGTTCCGAAAATATAAATACCGTTGATGTGAGAGCAACAAGAAAAATAATATCTGTAAAATAAAAGGTTTTAAATGTAGAGATTGTAGGAAAAGGGTAAGCGCTAAAAGCACATAAAGTTTTTCAACTCTGACCTTACCTGTCAAGTACAAAGCTTCCGTCTGGAAAACCATCTGAAGAGGTGGGAAATAGATGACCAGCATCTGCCCCACTATAGAAAGTGTAACAGCTAACAAAAACATTCGATTGCTGAAGAAACCAATTGAAAATACAGATTTTGTCTGAAAGCAAATGAAACAGCAAATATTAAAACAAGAAGACAAAAGAGCTACAAGAGGGTACCACAGGAAATATATAGCTGACCTGAGAACGGCAAGACAATGCATTAAACATGTCAAAAAATACAAAACAAGTAAATGTCATTGTTGTGTCTCTTTTTGTGATAAAATTGTCACTCATTTCTCGTTTGAACACCCATAGTGTCCCCAAAATTATAATAATGGCTGATGATAGAACATTTCCAATAAGAGACCTTGTAATCATAGGTTCTCGCACATTACGAGGGCGCTGTTTGACCACATCTTTGTCCACAGGTTCAACTCCCAAACTAAAAACAAAACAAACAACAAACTTAGCCCTATAATTGAAATCAGGTATGCTGTGTTGGAAAGAAAGAAAGACATAAACAAGTGCATTTCAATAGTCCCACAACGTTAACTATACCTTTGAGCAGGTGGGCCATCCATAATTATATTGATCCACAAAATTTGCATGGCATTCAAAGGGTTTGGTATTCCAAGAAGGGTGGAAAGAGCTATCAGAGAGAGTGCTGCAATGCTAGTGCTCAACTGAAATCGAACAAAATTCCGAATATTGTGGAAGATGCCTTTCCCCTCCTCAATAGCAGCTCTGAAACAAAATTAATTCCATTAATCAAAAATTTGTGCAAAAAATAGATGCTTCAGTAGTGAAGATTAGATTTCGTTCCTACTAACATTATTGTCTTAAAATCATCGTCAATAAGAATCATATCTGCAGCTTCCTTACAAACATCTGTTCCATTTTTTCCCATTGCAATACCAATGTCAGCTTTTTTTAAAGCAACACCATCATTTACACCATCACCAGTCATCCCGACAATAATGCCGTGTTTCTGAAAGGCCTGGGAAACAAAAATTTTAGGAGTCAAAACACCAGTGTAAAACTGGGAATAAATGTCTGATGTTGTTGTCTTACCTTGACGATGCACAGCTTATGTTTGGGAGTAACACGATAAAATACACTGACACTTTTGATAATTTGCTCGAGCTGCTGCTCACCCATTTGATCAATCTGATCACCAGAGAGGGATTGAAGGTGTACAGTATCCAAGCCCACAGCTGCAGCTGTAAAAATACAAGGCCATGATTAAATTTCAACTGGTTCTCTAGATTTCTGATTTAGTGTCACTTAATTCGTACCAATGGCTAGTGCAGTTTCTTGAGAGTCGCCAGTTACCATATTCACGCGCACACCAGAATTCTGTAACATCTGTACTGCATCTTTCACATGGGGCCGTGGGGGATCACATATACCAACCATACCGACAAAAACCAAGTCCTCAAGAGAAGAACCTCTGGCCATCCCAATCACTAAAGAAAAAATACAATGACAGAATAAAATAATTGTAACGTGGTTGATTCAAGGAAAGGCAAAAAAAGCAAAAAAAAGCTTGCTTTGTTGGCAATTAAATACCTCGCAATCCTTTCCTGGCAATATCATGTGCCTCTCCTAAATATTCTTGCTGTTTCTTGGCATTAATAGGGTACACTGAGCCTTTCTGAGAAAATTTTGTGCACAAAGGAAGAATTTTTTCCATGGCACCCTTAACGAAAAATATTTCCTCTTTGGTCTGTAGAGAGCAATAAACCATTATAGAGAATAACTATCTATATTAACTGATTGATTGATTGATTGAACAGGAAACAGAAATCTCACATCGTCATATTTTGGTACACACTTCACCGCCATGATCTTTTCTTCTGAGCTGAATGGAAACTCTTGCAGGCGAACATACTTTTGTTGTAGATCATAAATTCCATGCTGTAAATTGAACAAATAAGATGTTAAATGGGTATTAAAACATTTAGATTAAATATTGAGAACATTAAAAAAAAATTAGAATGAACGGCAATACAAACCTTCATGCCAGCAACCAACAAGGCACCCTCAGTAGGTTGCCCCATCAAAACTTCATTACTGATTTTGGCATTATTGCAAAGACAGCCAACCTCAAGAAGCCTGTAGATAGACTGCCAGGCTGTTTCCATGACATCACAGTTATGGGTTCGAATTTCACCTTGGTCATTGTATCCTGCCCCAGTAACCTGAAAGAACGGGCAAACTCAAATGACTCAAAGGCACCAGTTCTTCTTTAGGAATTGAGTACAGTTTAAGGGGGCTTTTATCTCCCAAAATGCATTTTTGGTACATTTATCAATAAAATTAGTTTCTGAGCCACTGTAGGTGTAGGGATGGAACCTGAGGGTATATTTCTCAACACAAGGGAACACATTAACAATATCAGAATGCCATGAACTTTACTTTAAAGAGGTCCCAGGTGTGCACTTCAATTTTAATAGGATATCTTCTTTTGAAGTTTCCGCGCAAGATTTCTCCGGAGAAAGTGGTGATAAAAAACTGGTCAATAGCTTGTTTGTTTCAGTTCAACAAGGACTACAAATTGACCCCTCAGGTTCCATCCCTACACCTACAGAGGCTCAGAAACTAATTTTATTGACAAATGTACCAAAAATGCATTTAGGGAGATAAAAGCCCCCTTAAGTTGTTTGTTTCGGAATTTCAGTTTAAACAAACCTCAGCTGCATATCCGTCTGAAGTTAGAAGCTTAGTCACAGTCATTTCGTTTTTAGTTATAGTCCCCGTTTTGTCTGAGCAAACAACATTAACACAACCTGGAAAAAAATTGACAATATTAGAGAGGGTCCAACTAAAAACTTGAAAAATAAAATAAAATTTCAATGAAAATTACCGAGAGTTTCAACAGTGGGGAGCTTCTTTACAATTGCTTTCCTTTTAGCCATTCTCATTACACCTAAGGCAAGGGTAACTGTCACCACAATAGGAAGCCCCTCTGGAATAGCAGCAACAGCCAAGCTGTACAGATTTAGGACTTTTAGTTACCTTGCATTCTATTTGAGAATTAATAACTCAGGCAGAAGAATTAGAAATGAAAAACATACCTTACGCCAATGGTAAACATGTCCATGATTGGTCGTCCTTGTAACCATCCTAGGAGCATTATAAGACCAATTATACAGAACGAATAAAATGAAAGCTGTTGGCCAAGCTTGTCCATGGATTTCTGCAAGGGTGTCTTCGGAGCCTCTTCTGCTTGCATCATTTTGAATACTTCTCCAAATTCAGATCTCTCACCAGTATTGATAACAATACCCTGATATTAAATAGAAGAAAGTTTTGAAATTCGCCACAAGAAAATGAATGAAGGATAGAAAAAAAAGGTCATAGATTTACCTTTCCATTCCCGGACCGAATCAGTGTCCCCATGAACGCCATATTAGTTTTTGAGCTATGTCCATTAGATTTCATTATCGGTGATGTGCTCTTGACAGCTGGTTCTGTTTCCCCAGTGAAGCTACTTTCATCAATCTCCAATTTAATTGTCTCAAAAAGTCTTAAGTCAGCTGGGACACGATCTCCTACAGATAGATACACAATGTCTCCAGGTACCAATTCTCTGGCGAGGAAGGTTTCAAGTTGTCCTTCACGTACACTGAAAAGCAACATTTTAGGTATGAAAGTCTGCTGCCTCAATGAACTTACCCCAAAACAAGACAATTCTTATTGCCTCAAAAAAGAAATTACCAATGACATGAAGGGGGGACGAGCTTTGTCAACTCTTGAAGTGACTTTTCAGACCGGTACTCTTGAACAAATGCCACAGTAACCACGATGATAATAGCCTGGGGGAAAAAAATGAGTCACAGGAGGGCAGTGAATGTAGTTAAGTCAAATCAAGAACTGGTGGTAGTAACTTACAACTGTGATGGATACTGCATCATCGTATTGTTTCATACATATGCTTACAACAGCTGATCCCAAAAGTAGCATTATCAAAGGGTTTTTAAACTAAAGAAACATAAAAGAATGTATAGAGGACAGAATATTAAACGTTAATGACAGCTGATGCCAAACAAAACAAACCTGCTCTATATATTTTTTCCATGTTGGATCTTCTTGAAGAACTGCAAGCTCATTCAAGCCAGTGAGAGACCTTCTCTGTTCGCTTTCACGCCAAGACAGACCAGTTCGAACATCTACTTGGAGTACAGATGCAACTTCCTCTACAGCCATGGAACTGACTTCTCCTGTTGATAGCCACATGTTGAACTGTTCTTCTGGAGATAGCGGTTTTCCTGGTCTATCAGCTATGTGCTGCTGCTGAAGCTGTTGGGCTTGTTGCTGCTGCAAAGTAAAATAAATGTGTGTTTTTAACTGAGTATAGTCTAATATTTATGTCAGGCAATATTTAGATTCTAATTCAAACATTTCAAAATTGACATCTTCTATCTGTTCAGACAAAGAATTAATTGCCAGCTAGGAAATAAAGTTTACAGAAAAGCTGTAACATGAATAGTCCTTCACACAACTGGCAACATGGTATCACCCCAATAAGTGTATTTCACTCAACAATTACAAGCCATGCTCGGTTTACGTTCTCCAAATACGCAGAGAAAATTTATGGCAAACAAGCAAGCTCTAAAATGAAAAATTATACTAATTTCCTTCCCTATTGCCTGAATTCAAGAGTAGCTATATACCACCACTCACCACCACCACCACCACCACCACCCTCTCAGTAAGCTAAAGATCACAAATTTTCACATTCACTTACAAAATAATTTACTTGTTAGGAAGTATATTCCTCCGTCTTCTTAGCTTACGTGCTAGTCAAAGAATTGCAGAAGTGATGTTTACACCTGAAACACTGTTTAGCCATATGAAAGGAATCTTAAATTAAAGATTAAGAGGGATTAATTGAAATGTAATGATCATCAAATTTGAACATAAGATTCAATGAACTATTAAAGTTTATGGGTAATGTTACACATTGTAAGTTGTTTGAGTGGAATTTTCACTTCATTTTAAAAGTCATCAAAATTGTTTGAGATGGATTTATTCTAAGGCTGGTTATTACTCTTTCTACAACAACAAAATCTTTAAATTTCTTGGCTATAGTGACACAGGCATTGAAAAATAAAGTAGCACAACAAATTTCCAATTTTTTAAAAAAACGAAAATACTTTGATATTTAAGAGGCCAACATGAAGCAAAAAATAATTCGGTGTGCAAAAAATAAATCGCAGCACAGTGTACAATCAGCAAAGTGTACAAACAGCAAAGTGCAAAAGAAACTACTTAAAAAATAAAACAAAATTGAGGGCAATTTAAAAAACTAAATTAAAGGCAAAACAATGTAATTGGCCGCAAACCCAATTACCTTATCATTTTTCACAGTAATTCTTGTCATGATGAAAACACTTCTTCTAACAGAGCAGAATATCTATTCAAGAGATGCAGCTACTCCACTATTAAGTACTTCCAGGGAAACATTCCCGACTAGACCTGCAATAGTGCCACACAGGCAGGTCTGACTTGAGCCATGAGACACCCTCTGCAAAGCCCTCTCTGTGCACTTTAACCTCGCTGGACCGCAGATTCCACGGCTACACGTCAAAGACCCGGTAGGGTTATGACCCTATTCTTAGTTCGTGACAACACTGTCAACTATCGTGCCCCAGGAGTGTCACTCTGTCTAAAAGCCCTCCCTTAAGCAGTAAAACTGCGGTCACAAGTCGCGCCAGGGCGCCTGCACTGCCGCGTCGGGGCTTTAAAAATGCAAGAAGGGACCCCACAGCGAATCGATACAGCAGGCCAGGCAGGCTCGGCTTGGAGGCTTGTGTAGGGCAGGGGGCTGGTAGGGGCTGGGGGCACGGGGCACGTAGGGCACAGCTAGGGGCCTAACCTACTAGCGCCTGGCGCCCCCGGGGCTCACCTCTCCGCTGGAGACCGTCATGGACTGCGTGGCCACGCCGGCGGTGGGACTCTGGCGAACAGGCGCCAACTTGTCAAATTTCAGACTGTTTGCCTGGTTCATTTTTCAGGCGGATGGCGAAAAGGGGTAGTTTCAAGCCATAGCAGACACGAAAACATGACGGCTTGACATGACAGAACAACACACTGACTTGCTGGCCAGTCATTGGCTAGGTCGAGCACAGAGCCGACCCCCCCCCCCCCCCCTCTCTCCCCTTCTGCCCCCAACCGGTAAGAACCAAAAAGAATGTTTTAAAAAAATAAGTCAATACGAATATCCATAGCCAATCAATAGGGTCTGGGGTTTGATTCAGAGGGTCGTTTTGTATGATTAGAGACAACGGCTATTATCTCTGGTATGTTTACGTTACAGTCTGAGACACGGCGGCGGTGTCATGTTGGTGTCACTAACTTCTTAGGGGTAGCGCGGGCTGTTTCAAATTCCCAAAAAAGGGATGTCATAGCAGGTAGCGTATTGCGTATCGCAACGAGGTTAAAGTTTGAGAAAGTTTTGCACAGCGACGGGTAATAGAGAAGCATTGAGAAGTCACACCCGGAGGGTTGCAAAGAGGGAGAGAAATTTTAAAAGGCACGCAAACACTGCGAAGCCGTGAATTCGAACTCAAGCGGTGACATTTTTTTTTTCGAAGGTCCTCTGTAAGTCAATGAACCCACAAAAACCGACAACGCCGAGTTCACATTCCGAGGCAACAACGTCCAGCTTGCGCGCCTCGCCTCCCTCCCTATTGCACCCTCACCCTGGCACTGACTGATCAGCCGACGACCAGGCACGACGACGCCTGGCGCGATAGAGCGAGGGACTGGACGCGAGGGACAGTAGAGGGGCCGCTGGCGCTCTGGCGCTACCGAGCGGACAGTCCAAGCGATACTGCTAGCAGGACGACGCTTTACGGGCCGTGCGGGCCGTCGTGCGGGCCCCAACTGCCCCAACCCCGCGGCTAACAGCCCCGCGGCCCCTGTCCGGCCCAGCGGGCCTGCCTGAGCGGGCCCGGCCCCCAGGCCCCCAGTACCCCGCGGGGGGCTCCGGGGCGCGCCGCGGGTCGGCGAGGCCCGGGGTCACTGCCTCTGGCCACGCAAGGCGCTCCCAGCCCTCAGGCCAGACAATCTCCCCCCTCCCCCTT